TGAAGACTATGGTTCCCAGCTGAAAGTACTCAAATGTATCAACGTACAATTGATCTTGGACAATGATTTTTCTCTGATAAAGGCCTCGGATAGTAGAATTTTATGTTTATAGATAGTTAAAACACTGCTCACCAGCACAACAGACAAAATTAACTCTGCTTTGTGCCTGTATCTATCCTGCATTCTATCCAGATGCATTTCATGCATGAAAATCAAGGAGAGCAGACTTAATGCAAAAGAATAAGTGGACACATATCAGAGGTCAGAATGTTACTCTTCATAAACCATTAGAAATTCCTGAGAAAGGAAATTTAAAAACAAATGCCATTATGAAACAAATGAATTTCCATCCTATATCTTTAGCTTTGTCATGTTACATATGTTAATTAGTTCATTTATAAGTATATTTGATCCATATATGTCACCTTTTTAGATCATTCTAGTGTCATGATAAAAGAGTTGAGGCTTTGTATGTGTGTTTATTTATGTATTCATTCATTCATTGCATGCATGTGTAGCCTCGCAGGTTGAGGCAGGCAGGTTCCTAAATTTATGCATTAATTAAATTGAATGAAAAGGTATATGTTTACCTTGATGTGGCCCCCAAATCCCATTTTTCATATAAGGGATTTTAGCACACTTGTGCATATCCACTATTCAACTTCCTTAATATTCACTTATTAGAGTGATGCCTCACCTCTCCTGTGGAAGCTTTAGGTGCTCACATGGCAGGAGAGGGAAGCTCCCATTACATATAGCCAGCAGGAACCCTTGTTATTTAAATTGTGTTAAGAAACTTGGAAAAATCACAGATCACTTTGTCTATTCAACTCAGATTCAACATAAGGAATGGCATTTCAGGCCAGTATAAAATTTCTGATCAAATGTAAATAAATGTGGAGAGCAAGTGAGAACACTTCAGTTGTTGGAAAATTACTTTGAGAAAGGAAACCAAAAAAAATAGGACTACGTTGATAGTTGTTTTGTGGGAATGTTGTATTTTTCTATTTATTAGACCCTCTGTACACCAGCTAAGACGGGGCTGCTGCATATGGCCTGCAAATTTGGGACAACCACTGGTAGGCAACAAAGTTAGCTTTCTACATTTCCCTGCTGCTACGTAGCACCCATCTGGATTTTTGCAGTGCAGATCTTTAGGACTAGTTAGCTTAAACTCTAATGTAAGAATAGGGGAGGAACCTTTTGTACAGACAACTGAAAGAAAGGGCCATTTGATATGAATTGTTTTGAAACCATAACTGAAATTTGAAAATATTTATACTAATTTGTCATACCAGCTACTGTAAATATGAACTATTATTATTTCTTATTATTAGCACTGGGTCATGTTTTGAGGTTAGTTTTCAGGCATATTTCTTACTAACAGACTCCCACTGAAATCTGGAGGAGTAAATACAAATGAGAAAGCCAAGCTGAAATTTAAGAATTTATCACTATGCAAAATACGCATATGCATCATAATGTCCTGGCATCATGTTAAGTGTTTTCTTGCAAAATTATGTCTTGAAAACATTGTAACTGGTAAAATAGCTTTGAATACTGCTCCCCGGCCAATTTTTGTTTTTCTAGTATGAGTTATTTCTGCTTTTCAATAGATCTGTAAGTGAAGCAGTTTTGGGGGGAAATATATGATAATCACAATAATACACTATATGTTCTTCTTTACTAGCAGCAACCTTTTTCTATTATATACCATTGCCCTCAAATCTACTTTGGTATGTAAAAGAGAAAATGAAGCAAAAATTTCAGTTACTAGGATTATAAATGTTAAGCAGCAGACCATTTCTTTGCATGCATTAATGAGAAAATTATGAGTAGTTATACTTTGCCAAACACAGTTCAAAGGCTTTCTTTCCATTCATGGATGAAGTGGTCTTTTCAGGACTCCCCCTCCCCCTTGTGCATGAATGTATGGGAAGAGCCAATATTCTGTAAGTTCACATGTACAAAAAATATGTGAACCCAATGGCTAGAATTGATGTTGGTAACTTTGCTCGGATAACGTCTTAATTTATTATTGGTTTTAATTGTTTTTGGGGCATTTTTTGACTGAATGGTGTAACCTCTTGCTAATTTTTATGTTTAAAAATGAATGTAAAGGTAGTCCTCAACTTAGAACTACAATTGAGCCCAAATTTTCGGTTGCTAAACAATAGTCATTTGGTGAATTTTGCTCCATTTTATGACCTTTCTTGATGTAGTTGTTAAGTGAATCACTGTAGTTGTTAAATTAGTAACATGGTTATTAAGTAACAGGGTTGTCACAAAAATGACCATGTGACTCCGGGACACTGCAACTGTCATAAATACATGCCAGTCGCAAAGCATCTGAAGTTTGATAATATGACCTCGAGGATGCTGTAAGTGTGAAAAATGGTCATAAGTCACTTTTGTCAATGCCATTATAACTTAAAACATCATTATACGAATGAATGTAAGACAATGACTACCTGTATAGAGCTTTTGTAAATAGAGGCTGTAGTGCTCTTGTTCAAACTTCGTATCAATTAAAATGTTAGCTACTATTCAAAATCTACACTGAGCAAAATGTGGCAAATTAAAAAGTTCCGTATGCCCTGCTGCTTTCTTCATTGTGAAGTACTAATGAGAAATCCAGCACAATCAACTGTCAGGATACATCATAATAGCAAGCGTGGAGGGTTTGGGAATTTTTCCCTATGAACACCTAAGAAATTCAAGGAGGGGGGGGGATGAATTTAAGGCTTCCACTTTCTACTATATTATTAATAGCTGGAAAAGTTTTCAATACAGTGGAATCCACACAACTACAAATGGCCTTTGTTTAAGAGTAGGTTACTTGAATTCATAAGTGAACCTATTATTTACTTTGATCAGTAAAAAAACAGATGAGTAATGCCAAGAGATTTTTTTTTCCTTAGGCATATGATAAGCTCTTTTCCCAAACTGTTTGAAGTACTCCTCTGCTTCCACTAGAGGGGGATTCCTTCCAAACAAGGTTGTGATCTGTTAAGAACAATTCCTGCAGTCTTTACATTTTGCAAAAGTGCCCAGCAGGGTTTATTTTACCATGTTCTTTCACAAATGTATCCTTTGGTAAGGGTGATGACATATAACTAAAAAGTGTATGCATATATTACGGAGAGCAAAATCCTTTCCTATTAACAAATCGAACTTGCTGATGTTTTACCAGATTGCTCTTGACATGAGATGAAATATTGTATCAGAGAATTGAGGACAGGTAGTCCTCAGGCTACAACCCTAATTGCAATTGTAATTCCTGTTGCTAAGCAAAGCAGCCATTAAGCAAAAGATCCTGTGCTTAGAGATGGCAGCCCAGATTGCGATCATCAGGTCAGAACTGCACGGTTGTTAGGCTAGGACCTCAAATTTCTCCTGCCCCTGTGCAAACTGCCTCCACTTCAGTCTTCCCACTTGCCTATTTTCTCCCATCTCTGCTTTCTTGGCTGCCCTGCACTCTTCTGCCTGTTCCTGCTGTATTCCACCAATCCTCCCAACTGACCTTCCTGTTTTCTCTCTGTGTTGCTAGCCTGAGATTCCAGCTCTGGGCAAAGAGGAAGCAGGACTGAAACAGTGGATGAGGTAGGATAGGCAGAGGAGTCTATCTTGTCCTGCTAGTGCAATGATTGATAGCTGGCAGATTGTGGAAGAGCATAGCAGGACAGGCTGGAAAGGCAGGCTGGAGCAGCTCCATCATTGGATGAAGTAGGAGAGCTTGCACGTCCCAGGCAATTGATAATTGATCACTTATCTAGCATTCAAAGTTATTTAGACATTTTTTTTTAGACATTTTATTAAGATTTATAGGCCGCCCTTTTCCCTGAGGGGACTCAGGGCGGCTTACAATCACAGGGGAGGGGGTGCAATACCAGAAGACAAACAGTAAGTGAACAAAATAAAATAATAAAACACAACTTGCATTCCACAGTCAACACTCGGGCGGGTAAATTGGGAACCTATCCCCAGGCCTGCTGGGAGAGCCAGATCTTAAGGGCTGTGCGGAAGGTCTGGATGGTGGTGAGGGTACGAATCTCAACGGGGAGATCGTTCCACAGGGTCGGAGCTGCAACAGAAAAGGCTCTCCTCCGTGTAGTCGCCAGTCGACATTGATGGACGCATCCAACCCAATGTGTACTTATGACCTGGTTCAAGAGTTCTGATTTTTCCCCTCCCCCTGTAGTCACATGACCACATTTCGGGCACTTGGCAAAATGATTTATGGCTGTTTGTAGTGTCCCATGGTCACTTGATCATAATTTATGATGTTTTTGTTAAAACGTGCTTATTTCCAATTTTTGGCAAAACACATAGCGGACAATACATTTGCTTAATGGCCAAGATGGTCACTTAATGACTAGAGATTCACTTAACAACCATGGTGATTTTGGTTATTTATTTATTTATTTATTTACATTTTGTATTTCTAGACAGTCCATCTCCTTCAGGGAAGGACTTGCTTAATCACAACCAAGCAAAACAAGTTTGTAAAACTGGGTGATGACCTACTTTACGGATGTAGTGACTTACAACCACGCTCCATTAACATCATAAATCAGGGACTCTAGTTTTAAAAAAAAGTACAGTTTTGAAGCTTCCTCCCCCTTTAATATAACCACCTCACTAATAAATATGACTGATCTCTGATATTAATGCTAGCCCATACAAGACAAGAGTACAACTTTCCTTCTGGGGACAAACTGTTGCATAAATATTATATATTGTGCCACATTTTATTTGGCTACTTTTTATTAGGGCATAAAAACTCAATTTGTTAAGTCTTCCTCTCTTCCTCCAGCCCTAAAAAAGTGTTTTTATTATTTTGCTAACTATAATTTCTGCTTAGATCAGCACTGCTGTTTTTATATATGGATTTAAGTCACACTGAGTCTGTTCCAGCTTGTATTTTCCTCACAAACTCTGTGGCTCTGTTCACTTTTAAGTGACTACTTTTGAAATTTTATTTCTCCTTATAATTTCAGGTTGAAGTTTTAGCCACGGAGGATGCTTCATTTGGACTCAAGGTCTGTAGACGATGAAATTTCTTTTAGTGGGTACTCTTAAGTTTAAAACAACTGATTTAATTTTATATGAGAACATTTACTTTTTCCTGAAATTTATATCATTAATTCATATCTTGTAATATTTACTTGAGATTATTTCAGTCAAGATGACATTTCATATTGTGTTCCACTTTTTTTCTAAATAAATTTTCTTTGCAAGAAAGATCAGGTTGGAATATGAGAACATATTATAAACTAAAGCTAATCACTTTAAATATAACATTTTGTTTTGTAGTTTGGTAATGTGACTCATGCCTCTGTATTGAGACCCAGAAGTTGATTTCTGAGCACTTTTGCAGTTTTCACATGCCTAGTATTAAATTCCTGAGAAGAGAACTTTTTAAGGTTCTAGATTTACTTTTACAAATATTAACTTTATGTATCAGTAGTGAAATTAGGCTATCTATCCTATTTTTTTAAATGGTGGTCCTTAATGGTAAATTTTATATAGGCTATAACAGTGATGGTTAACCTTTTTTGACTCCTGTGCCAAAAGCAGGAGGAGCGCAGGACGGTCGTATGCCACACCCATAATGCTATGTGCATGACCCCTCCTCCTTTTGGCATGGTTTTTTTGCCCTCCCTAGGCTCCAGAGGCTTTCTAAGAGCCTGGGGGGGGGCAAAAACAGCCCCCCAGGTGCTCTGGAGGCTTCAAGAGCTTCCCTAAAGCCTCTGGAGGGTGAAAAACGGACCTACGGGAACCCGGAAGTTTGGGAATGGTGACTTCTGGTTTGTCCATAGAGCCGCTTTTCAATCTCCGGAGCCTTCAGAAGGCTTCCCTAAAGCCTCTGGAGGGTGAAAAACGGCCCTAAGGATAAACCAGAAGTCCATTCCTGAATTTCAGGTTTGCCCGTAGGGCTGGTTTTTTGCGTTCCAGAGGCTTCAACCTCCGGAGCGTGAAAAGCTGCCTCAAAAGAAGGCCGAAGTCAGCTGGCCAGCGCACACATACGCACTGGAACTAACAGGGCAACGTCTTGCATGCCCTAACAAATGGCTCCGCATGCCACCTGTGGCACATGTGCCACAGGTTCGCCATCATGGGGCTATAAAATAGACTAGTGAGAAAAGAGATTGGATAGTGGGAAAGGAGTATAAATCTGAAAACCTAATCTTATATCATGAATTTTCTGTTGTTAAATATCCATATGATATAATACTTCAAAAAAGTATAGAAGTTGAGTAATCACCAAAGTAAGAACAATTGGTAGGAAAAGAATAAAGCTCAACATTCATGATAAAAGAAAAAAAAAACTATGGGCATAGTTAACTCTGGGAGGAGGGGAATCAAAATTGCCACTTTATTAGTTAGTAAATATTTATGACACTATGATTTACTACTGTTTTATTGTGTTGTGATATCTGGGAAACTGATTTAAAATAAATTATTAAAAATAAATAGAGCTGCTCCAAAATTGTTTGAAGTGTTTAACATATGGTATTCTGTAGCATTTTCTAGTTTGTATTTAATACGCAGCAGGCATACAGAACATTCACTGAATATTTAATAAACCTGGAGGGTCAGCTTTTGCAAACTCATCTCCATAATCCTTCATGCTAGCTGGGTAAACAGAAGTATTATTGAAGATTATTGTAGCCAATAGCTCTCATTGTCTAACCCATTTTGGAAAAGACTGTGTTATTGTTTTAAGGTTAAAATTGTACTTTGGGAAAGATATTAGGATCAATTTGTATGTGGCACAAGCTGGGTATTTGCCAAGTAAAATTTTCACTTTCATTTTGAATGCACTTAGGACATACTGCATCAAACTATGTCTGTTTGGCATTAACATAAGTGGCTTCAATGTCACATTCTGGGTTTACTACTACTATAGATGACTAAGCTAGAACACATAGTAAATATTTTCTAAAAGGAAGTATGCATAGAATGCTTTCATGAATAAGCAATTCACCAGTCCTCATATGAAAGAGCCACTTCAGGAATAAATGTTGCTTTTGCTGTCTGAATGCATATATTTTATTAGAGGATTTCAGTTACAATAATATAAATCCTAGTTTTCTTTTTAGTCCTATGGAATGTTTCTGGAACCTGCTTATTTCATTATGTTTCATGAGAGTGTGACATAGCAATAGCAGTAGCAGATTTTTATATACCGCTTCATAGGGCTTTCAGCCCTCTCTAAGCGGTTTACAGAGTCAGCATATTGCCCCCAACAACAATCCGGGTCCTCATTTTACCCACCTCGGAAGGATGGAAGGCTGAGTCAACCCTGAGCCGGTGAGATTTGAACCGCTGAACTGCTGATCTAGCAGTCAGCTGAAGTGGCCTGCAGTACTGCACTCTACCCACTGCGCCACCACATCCCTGCTTCTATCAAACTGTTGCTTCCTTATGATATAAAAATTGAATAATTCAATGCAATTTATCTTCCACAATCATTTGAGTAATTGACCTCCAAATCTGAGATTATAAACTTGTTGCATCAATAATTACCAAACAAGCATGAAGTATTTGTTGATTTTCTTTTTTAAAAAAATATTTGTTTTTAGTTTATGTTCTTTATTTTCTGGTCTGGCACTGAGGGAAAGGAAGAATGTCAAACTCTTGAAACAGTTGTGTCAAGTAACTTATTTCTTAACTTAAAACTTCACTGGATATTGCACATACTTTCTATATTATTGCATCCTGTGCTTTCTATTTTCGTCCCTGAACAATCACATTTTATTAACAATACCACAACATTTTATTCACGATTTTCTTTTTAATCTTCTACTAATGGTGCTTCAAGACGTTTTGCTACTGCAAACCTAACACCAAATTTTCATACAGCTAAAGCCTTTTTGTACCATTCAGACCTCAACTGCTACCTTCATCATACCTCCTATGTGCTGTTTCCTTAAGCAGCTTGTTTCATTTTGCTGCTTGGTAGAACTGGCCCAGCTCCCTACAGACAAAAGATTCATCCAGAATAAGCCAAGAAATTCTTAGTGAAATGGGGCCTAGTTGTGGGAAACAAATACACTTTAACATATTGAATAGGCAATATGTATTGTGTAAAAAAAATAATTGTTTCTAAACTATAAAAACTAAATTTTCCACAAATAGTCCTAAATCACCATGTTAATAACTTTTAGTTTGAAAGAATTAATATTATATTAGCTGAATTTCAAATACGTTCATATGAACTGTCTCATTTGCTGTTAAATATTTTTGGAGAACTAATGAAACAGTCCTTGAAAATAATTCCATCCAGGTTTTCTCGAAATATTATTTTAAATAGATGACAAATTATTTTCATGGATGCATTCTTTGTAGTTAAGAATGGGGATTAACCCTTTTTTAATTTTAGTCAATGATATTCTACAGTTGTTTTTCTTTTGTTCTTAATTGGAAATTTTATCCTTTATTTTGAGGCAGTGTGAGTGACAGAAACTTTGTTGTATAACATGAACTGAGTTACCTATATATTACGTATAGTAATATATACCTATAGTAATATATAGGTAACTATATACAGTTAAAAATTTATATATATATATTGAGTACTTTGGTATTTGATTAAAGAAGCCAAGCAACAAAGCAAATCCTAAATATTTCCAATTTTTTCACCACACCATTTCAATGAGATACCATCACTATGTTTCACTAATTTCTGTAAAAATAATTGTAAGCAGTTGCCTCCATTTTTGATGAGTTGGTCTTCACTATGCAGGGCCATACTGTTTAGTAAGTGTCATCACCAGAAAATAGCAACATTATTATATTCTGGATTTTGTAATTGCAAACATATTCATATTGTTAATAAGAAAACTGAATGAACAAATCCATAGACTCAAGCTATACCTTTTACCTTTTTTTTTCTTTTTCTGTTCAATCACATCCGATTCTCAGCCACTGTCTGGGGGGAAAAAATTAGTAGCAAGCTTTTTCAGAACTGGTTTGCCATTGTCTCCATCCTAGGGTTGAGAGAAAGTAATTGGCACAAGATCACCCAACCGGCTTTGTGTCTAAGATGAGGAACTAGAACTCGCGTCTCCCAGTTTTTGCCTTGATGTCTTGACCACTATTCCAAACTGCCCCTCTCCTTATATGCTAGTGTGATTTTAAAAACCATAGGATAAAATATGTATAGTTTCTGCATCACAGTTATATATTTTATATTTATACAAAACTTCCATTGACCTTATAGAATTATTTCAGAAGAATCTGACTAATTTCCTTTAAGATAAAGATACAAAATTCAAATAATATAGATGATTATACTTTGCAGTATAAACTTTCTACAGCAGATAATAGGACCTTACCCATTGAAGAGAGAAAAATAGATTGTAAATAAAGAATTAAGTTGTGCTTATTGCAAATTAATTAATATTAAAAATCTTTTAAATATATTTTCACAAATTCAGTCAGTACTCCATACAGGCTTCAGATAGCAGAAATACAGTATCTGGTTATATGTACTGCATCTTTATACTTTATATCATCTCTCATTCTTATAACCACCTATTTCCTGTGTTGATTTCTCAAATAGCCATATGGGGTATGCTTAAAATGACAGTTGCTGCGTAAGTCTGTATGTTCATATTTCACATAAATATTTCATAGCATTTACCATGTAGATTCAATAGGTATACAGCTATATTTTTATGACTGATAAGAATTAACATTTCTTCAGTGTCTATCTCAAAGTGTCTCTTTTGAACTTAAGATGATTATGTGATGCATATCTTCAAAAGAAAGAGGTCCTTTTCTAGGAATCCATCTCAATACTTCACCAATTCAGACCCACACAGTGCAGCTAGTTTTCTTTTGGGGAAGCAGTTTTACTAGATAAAACTATCCTGCCCTGGAAACTTATTCAATGTTATATATGCATGCCTGCTGCCAGCTGCCTTCTGTGATCTACAAGTAAGCCTTGTCATATAGCTATATTTTATTCACTCCTTGGAACATAAATAAATGCTTGCAAGATTTTACACTGGGCATTCTTAAACCTTTGGTG